GCCGCAGCTAAATACCACGTACTCATTGGAGGTTCGGCACAAGAGTTGCTGTTGTTGATCTCCTCCAAACTAGCACCGAACTACGGAGGTCCTGGTCGCCAAGACTCCCGTCCTGCACCAAGATCTCGGATAACGCCCTCTGGACAATGCGATGAGAAGTGCTTAGGAATTGCACCTAATTCCAGCTCAGTCTGGAGGTCAATGCCCGTATCACACCCAAAAGCGTTCCCTAGAGTTCAATTTATGCGCTCCCAGAAGATATTCGTAGTTTCAGGGTCACCACCTAGGTTTCTCACTCCAGGGGAGTCTTCCGAAAGTAGGGTTAGGGCCGGTATGGGGGCCGACTTCCCTGCTTCTGTAAGGTAAATGGGGTTCGTTTCGTTACACCTAGTGTAATCTACTTCCGTCGAGTCGTTGAAAGACAATATGATCATTCAGTAGTATTTATCAAGTCTTCCCTTACTCTCGAACACTCCATTTCGAGCATTTACCTCCCCAAAGGACCAGGCACTTGTATCATGGGCTGCTGACGATTCCGGGCCAACACCAGGCCCATCAATTCAGTGATCAATGGCCCCCAATGCATCTATCAATAAAGCTACGAATTTATGGGTATCCCGGGTCATTCCACTGATCCTAATCGGACTTGTGGGATATGTGTCTTGGGTCGAGATAAAGCTGTTATGCGGTAAGGGAATCCCAAACCGCTTGGCTGATTCATGCTGACGAGCATCAACAGTGGACTACCTCCTCAGACCTTCCACCACCCTCCACACTCCTCGCCCCGGCCCAGCGATTGGCATCCTTGTCATATACTCTGTCCTTCTACTCCTCTTCGTCTTCACCTATGCCCGCCTCCTCTTTACCGTTACCGTCACTCCCGGATACGTTCCACGCTGCAGTCAGTGGCGTGCTCTGCGAGAGAGCAAAACGAAAGCGAAGGGACGGCGCAATCAACGCCATAGGAAAAGATCCAGCCAAAGCTCTAACGGAAGTACTGGAGAGAATGCTGGAGGGGAAAGCGCAGAGAATGGAAGGATCTCTGGCCACAATTATGGGGGTGGGGCATCCACAGCGCCTACGACTACAGAAGCAGCGCCTGGCCTCCAGGACTTCTACAGCAGGGATGCATTCGTCTGCCAAACAGACGGTCGCCCCAACTGGTGCTCTACCTGCTTGAATTGGAAACCAGACCGAGCGCACCACTGCCGTGAGATTGAGCGATGCGTTCGCAAGATGGATCACTTCTGCCCTTGGTAGGTGATCTGTTGCACAGTCTAAGCTACTGAGTGGAGGGCCAAACCCCAGATAGCCGTCCTCCTCATCATCAGATCCAGGAGTTTCTTATACTGACCGCGGCTAGGGTCGGAGGGGTGGTCTCTGAGACGTCGTTCAAATTTTTCATCCAATTCGTAGGCTGGAGTGCGATCTACTGTGTCTTCAATCTCACCGTTGCAGCATACTTTCTTGCGGAGTACAGAAGAGAGGTGAGCGGACTTCGCTGCCTTGGTTCCGAATATGGACTCTCGTAAGGCTGCGACAAAAGCCACGAGGCAAGGCCACACGAGCCGTTGACTGTCTTACCGACAAAGCTTGTTTCAACGTTCACAGATCATCAGGCTAATAAATACCCTGTGCAGACCCACTCTCTTCATGTCCACTGGCTGGTCGTTGTATGCTTGTAGGTGGACCAGCAATCTTGCATGTATGATAGGAACTGATGAGCCTCTAGGGGCGCTCTTTTCGGTCTATTCAACCTAGGCATGACTGGCAGCTCCCTCCAGTTTGCCCTCATCAATACCACGACCATCGAAAACCTGTCAAGGAGGACCCTAGTCTGGACACTGGCCATTCACATGCCAAAGCCTCCAGAAACATCGATCGGATTTCGTACCGTCTCATTCTCAACGGCGACGTTGACTACAGAGTCTGACGCGCCTGCTGAAGAACAGGCATCAGGCGCTATAAAGACCTTCGCGATCCTGCATACTAAGCCTGGAGAGAACCCTTTCGACCTCGGGCCATATCAAAACTTCAAAACTGTGATGGGAGATCATTGGTACGACTGGTTACTGCCGATCAGGTTTAGCCCATGTTGCAACCACGATCGGAGAGATGGTCAATTTGCCATGGGTCCGGTCGTCCAACGAATGCGGGCTGCAGCGGGTATCGCCAGTGTAGAAGAAATTAGCGATGAGAAAATGCATAGAAAGCCGAAGCGCAGGAGACGGCAGTCTCATAGAGCTAGAGCTGCAGTTGCCGCACCGGAAACAGACAGCAATCAAGACGAGAAGAAAGGTCGTGATACGGGACACAACAGAGATGAGGCTGACGATATTGATCTAGAAGCCGGCCTTGGACATACAAATGGGCATGTACATTAACACATTGATTCTCGCATTGCATAGCGTAGGAAGCATTAAACGTTCCTGGCCGAGCCTGTTGGTTTCAGGATTGCAGCTATACCTGTGATACAAGTCTTAAGATCACGCAGAACGAGTCTCATCGAGGTCAAACTTTCCCTCCAACATTCCGACTGATCTGGCAATCATCCAAAAGTACGGCAAGTCTGACATTTCGTTACCAAAGTTTCTAGCTACAAACGACAAAGAAAGAATCAAACATCATGACCAAAACACCAACCACATCAGCAACAACCACAAAATTTGCACCAATCTCAGCTCGCGTTCGCTCCAGAACTTGCAGTCAACTGTCCCATTTCCTATCATCTGTCCCCTTATCCTCCTTGTATCTCTCGCTTATCCTTGCATGTCCCACTCAGCCACACAGACAAGCTCTCGCCTTTAGCATTTATTGCAAGATCCGCACCTGTAATGAGGACAAATGCCACATCTCTCAGGGCAAAGAACATTATTGTTGAGGTGACCGCAGTCGTGGCAAACCCAAAACCCTCTCTGATCCGAGGGTTGGAGGTGGTGGATATTGCCGGAGGCGTCTGAGCCGGAGAGGCAGTGGTTGGCCATTTTGGGAGAAGTGGTTATTGATCGCTGTGGAGAAGTGGTGTTGGATGGTATGGGGTGCTGAGATGCCGGAGGGAGTTGAAGACGATGTTGGCTTGAGCAGAGGGCGGGAGGTGAAAAGGGCGAGTTTGGGATTGACGGAAAGGGCGTATGAGAGGGCGTACAAGAAGGCGATCTGTGGGATGTTCGGGGCAGAGCGGTTATGCTTGAGGGCCGTTGACTTTTCAGGACGATGGAGAGTCTGTTGAATGATGATAGCAGAGATTGGGGACTTCACAGAGGGTTATATATACTCCCCATCCCACAGTGAAGCTCACCGCTGACCGTGCCAGAGACTCTGATCCCACTCCTCCTAATCTCACCGAATTCGCCCAACTCTGCTGACTCTACACAGCACCGTCATCGATGACAAAGAGATGAAGATATTGATCTCGCCCTGCAGGAAGAGGATGGAAATCGGTAAATGGTGTTTCGCCTGAATGAGGCATGTCCTAGCGAGTGTAGAAGCAGCGGGGAAAGCCAGGCTGGAAGGAATGCTGCTGCGTAGAAGCACCCAAAGGATCCCTCCTCGATCCGAGTCAAAGCGCGTTCTACAAGGCGAGAAGGAAGGCAGCTCCACTTTTCCCGTCAGACAGACACAAAAGACGTTGTGACCCAGCGGTGGATGAAGCAGGATGAGTGAGCCAAGTGCACGACTGCTGCGGAATTCCAAACACCCCTTTCGTTCCCTACAGTCGGCGCTCCCCGCAAAGACGAGAAGCTTTCAAGGCGAGAGAAGACGTTTGCTCCACTTTTTGTTTTTGTTTTTTGGGGTTTTCGGGAAAGGGAAAAAAACAGGCGTTTCTGACTCTGCAGGACCCACGAGGCAAAAAAAGGGGCTGCGCAATGCTTAGAGGCAGGGGGGGGGGGAGGGTCCCCCAAGGCAATCCTGCGAGGCAAGGAATTAACTTTTTGGTATTTTTTTTTTGGTATTCCATGTTTGCGTAACGGAAAAGTAAAAGAAGAACACTGCGCTCGGTGCGCGGACGGGAGGAGGTTGTGGGTATGATGACTCTTGCTCCGCGGTTAGGGGGGGACAAGCTTCGAAGGGAATGGAAGTCTGACCGACGGGGCGGGCGCCTCGTCTAGGTCGGACGGAGGAGGACTTTTCGGTCGAGTGGGACTGCCGTGGCGAGGAGTGGACGGAGAGACTTTGGTGTTAATGGCGCTTTCAAAATTCCGGGCGAGAAGGGTCGAAGGTTGGCAGAGTACGATGGGGATGCTAGCTCACCTTAGAAACGCACGAATGAATTATATGGGCGAATCTAACACTGGGCCACACAATGTCACATTTTGGGATTCTTCGAAGGTTTGTGAAATATGTATGTTTGGCTTTATGTTTCTCTGTCTATGACAATTATTACAATGGTGAATCTCTGATGTTGCACACTGGTCTGACAACATGAAAAAAAAACGGACAGGGACTTCCAGCACGACACAGCAACCCATCATCTAGAAACCAGCTTCCCTCTCCAAACATCCTCCTCTCGAGCATTTTTGTAAGGCTATTAAATCCAGAGCCACCTAAGCCTACCTCAACATATAGTCGAGATAGTGGGAATAGATTCCATCCGGAGCCCACATTCAGCGTAGAGCTGAGGGGTGGGACGGAGTCATTCAGCGCCCCCTGCTCCAGCGAACTGGAACAGGGGGCGCCGAACGGCCATGAGCAAAAGGACCCCAGTTCATAGCCTGAACCCGAGCATCGCCGAAGCGGATGCCGAGCCCCGATATGAACCAATCACAAGCCGTCCGCTTCAGCAAAGCTGAAGTTTCGGGATGAAGAAGTCCTTGCTTGTTCGAGAGGAAAGATGATGAGGAGGGTCGCCAAGTCTTTCGACGACAGGAAGGTTGTCCGCCGGGTTGTCGAAAAATGAGGTCTGAATCGTTCAACTGTTCCACCACAGCACCACCACCGCCACCACCAACCCCTTCTCCTCCCCACCACCCCCCCTCCTCCCCTTCCCCCCTCTCCACCCCCTACCACCCCCTCACTCCCCCACCCAACGAGCCCCCCTTCATCATCATTGCCAATCCAAGCTGCGGCGCCGGCATTGGGGGATAGACGAATGTGATAGGCGTCGAAGCGTGACGTGAAGGCGCTGGCAATGGCGTGTACCGATGGGAGTATACATTTTTGTACACGATTCCATGCTGGATCTTGGAATGGGGATCGGATTTCAGCCCCGAGTACAAGGAGAACAAGCTGAAAAGGATCATCAACGACATCAGAGCGTAAATGAACAAGGCCCAACTGCTGAACCTAGTCGGAGTGACCGTGACTTTCTTGACGGGCAGGTCCGTGGTGTCTGTCGCCATATCCTTGGCGGAACGGAGAGAGTCGGCGACTTTCTTGACAGGCAGGTCCGTAGTGTCTGTCGCCATATCCTTGGCGGAACGGAGAGAGTCGGCGACTTTCTTGACGGGCAGGTCCGTAGTGTCTGTCGCCATATCTTTGGCGGAACGGAGAGGGTCTGCGACTTCCTTGACGGGCAGGTCCGTGGTGTCTGTTGCCATATCTTTGGCGGAACGGAGAGGGTCTGCGACTTCCTTGACAGGCAGGTCCGTGGTGTCTGTCGCCATATCTTTGGCGGAACGGAGAGGGACTGCGACTTCCTCGGCGAGTAGGTCCGTGGTATCGGTTGCTCTATCATCGGCAAATACATCGGAGTTCGTTCCCACGTCTTTGACCTCGTTGAGCGGCATCGTCGCAATAAGCTGGCCGGATGCCAACCCCTTGTAGGTATCCTCCGGTATCCCCGATAGTTCGTATGCAACGAGCGCTGGTGCTTCATAGAGTCGGCAGCCTGGACCTAGAGCCTTTAGGCGTCGGTCGATGGCGTCGGCCTTTGCTGGGGTACATTCGAATAGGCTCTCGAGGGCTTCTGACTGTTCCTTCGCTCGTCCCTTTCCTCGCATCTCAAGTGTCTCGAGGTTCTTTGCTTGACGCTCCAGTGACAGTAGCTTCTTCATCTTTCGACGCATGCTCCCTCTAGCATGCTCTCCAACATCCTCTGAACCGTCCGTCTCCCAGTTTGCTGCACCCGCTGCCTTCTTCTCTTCACTTGTCTCCGCTTGCTTCGACATCATTACACCCTGTTGCTGCGGCATGGAAACGTCGGACTGGTATTCGTCGCTCTGATCACGAGAGGAATAGCCAAGGTCTTGACGCAGTGATTTCTTAGCGCGGGGAGTCTTCTCCAAATCTAGACTGCCCTCATCTGTTGTGTACGTTGGTGACGCGGGCGGTGTGACCTGTGAAAGTATATTAGCATGTGTAGGGCGTCTGGGCTGGATAAGGGCAGGAAGGGAGAGGAGCCCATAATGTGGGCAGAGCTGCTCACCTGGCTACGTTCGGCTTCCATGGGGGTCCCAATCTGTGATTGCAGCAACCTCGTACGCTCTTCAATATCTCGCTGCACTGCGTCCGATAAGTCGCTGTTTCTCTTCCAACCCTGCACTTTCTCCTCGGAGATCTTGGTCTGGAATGTCTTATTTTCCTTTTCTTGGAATTCTTGATTGGCCTGCTCCAGCTGATCTGCCTTTCCTTGGAGTGCTTCCATGTCTGATTTTGTTGTCTGATGTTCCTCTTTTGCAGTTTTGAGCTCCGACTCTAGTAGGTCTGACAATCCTTGGAGTCCCTCCATGTCTGATATTAATGCCTGAATTTGCTCATTTGCAAGTTCGAGCTCCGACTCTAGTTGGTCTGACAATCCTTGGAGTGCTTCCTTGTCTGACTTTGTTGCCTGATTTTGCTCTTTTGCGATTTCGAGCTCCGACTGTAGTTGGTCTGCCAATCCCTGGAGTGCTTCCTTGTCTGACTTTGTTGACTGATGTTGCTCTTTTGCGGATTTGAGCTGCGAATCTAGTTGATCTGCCAGTCCTTGGAGTGCCTCCATGTCTGACTTTGTTGACTGATGTTGCTCTTTTGCGGTTTCGAGCTGCGAATCTAGCTGATCTGCCAGTCCTTGGAGTGCCTCCATGTCTGACTTTGTTGACTGATGTTGCTCTTTTGCGGTTTTGAGCTCCGAATCTAGTTGAGCTGCCAGTCCTTGGACTGCCTTCATGTTCGACCCTGTTTCCTGAAGTTGCTCCTTGCTAGCTTTCTGATCCGACTCCAGCTTTTGCAGCATATCGTTATGGCTCTTTTCTTGATCTTCGAAGGCCTTGTTGGCTTGTTCTAGTCGCTCAGCCTTTTCCTGAAGGGCCTTCATCTCCGACTCAGCTTCTTGGTGTTGCTCTTGGGAAGCTTTGAGGTCTGACTCCAGCTTCTCCCTGTCTAGCACGTCGTCATCTAACATGTCGACGTCGGTCTTTTCTCGATCTCGGAAGGTCTGGTTGGCCTGTTCTAGCTGAATCACTTGTTCTTGGAGTGCTTTCATGTCCCCTTCTGTAATCTGATGTAGCTCTGCGCTGGCTCTGAAATCCGATTCCAGGTTCTGGATGTGCAGAATGTAGTCCTGGGTCTCATCTTGATCTTTTAAGGCTTGGTTGGCCTGTTCTAGTTGAACCAACTGTTCTTGGAGTGCTTTCATGTTCCCTTCTGTAATCTGATGTAGCTCTGTGCTGGCTTTGAGATCCGATTCCAGGTTCTGGATGTGCAGAATGTAGTCCTGGGTCCCATCTTGATCTTTCAAGGCTTGGTTGGCCTGTTCCAGCTGGTGGGCCTTGACTTGAAGAGCCTTGATGTCAGACTTTGCTTTCTGATGGCGCTCTCTGCTAGTGTTGAGATCTGACTCCAGCTTCTCCTTGAGCAGCTTCCCGTCATGAACTTTATCTTGAAGATCTGCGACTTCCTCTGAACAGCCTTGGTGCTCCTCCCACTGTTCCAACGCTTGATGGAGTCCTATCTGCTCCGGTGTCCCTTGGACCAGCTCTTCCAACGAAGCGATTTGGTTCTGAGCCTTTTGTGCCTTTGATTGCCATTCGGAAATGGTCGCCTGAAGAGCATCTTTCTCTTCGGCAGGTTTTTCTACGGACCACCCATATTTTTCCCTCCACGCTTGTAGATCACGTGCCGCAGTTTCGTACCTACGTTCCGCATTCTTAAGCTGGCCCTTCTGGCTGCCGACAAGGTGATCTGCATGGCCTTTCGCGTTTTTGGCTTCTTTCTGAGCTTTGTTCGTAGCCTTTTCGCAGTTCTTGGCATGCCTTTCGAGTTTTGTAATCGCATCCTTCTGTGTTCGGAGTAGCTTCATCAGCTGATCGTTTGTGTTTTTGAACTCGGTTTTTTGACGCATTTCATCTTCCGCCGCTTTGTTCGCGTCTTGCAGCTTATTTCTAAGCATCCAGATATGTTGTTCCGGTGTTCCCGCCATTTTTACCGTGGGTGGGTCGAAACCGTGTTGCAAGGATTGAATGATGCAGAGGATCGGGTGAGGTGCGAGGTTGGTTGGTGTGGATGAAGAAAAATGTGAGATGTGACGCGATGGGTTATGCGAGGTCTGTACTGGGTAATGTGTTGATGAAGTGTAAAGTAGATGTGAGGTCTGATGTGCTGGTTCAAGCACTGTGTGTAGTATGCAGGATTGATGAAAGAAAATGCGAGACTTGACGCGGTGGATCACGCAGGTTGTGTGAAATCCATGAGTCAGAGTGTTGGTGATTTTTGAAAGTGAGGTTTGCTTTGCTGATTTCGTTTCATTGCCGGATGCGGAAATTTCGCGCTAGTGGAAATTCACGACAAGGCATAAGTCACTTATCATGGGGGCACTGAGGCTTTGTCTTTTTACGTATGTGACAAAGGGATCGAGATCATCTTTCACCATACCTTCGCCCCAACTCGATGCCTGCTAACCATGTATTTCAGTGTATCAGTTGCTTCCCTTAAGATCTAGCCGTGTCGTAGTGAGACGCTCTCAAACTTCGGTTACACAAGCACTCAAGTCCTCTTCAAACATGCAGACTAATCCGGCATAAGCCTCGGATATGTCTTTCAAACGTCAAAGGTCGTACTCTGGCAAATTCTCGAGGCTGTGACTAGGGGTCGCTGCCACAAGAACTAACTCCAAGCACGGCCAAGAGTACTGCCGCTGTCTTGAATATTACCTCGGGCACAATGAAGCATAGTTGGAATATCAATCTCCTTTCATAGAGGAACACAACGCAACGAGTATGAGGTTTCGCCGGGTCCCAGGCCCTGCAAAAGAAGAAGGTCAACGAGTTGATTTAGAGGAAAATTCAAACATCTTGGTTGAACCTTTGCGTGCAATGCCGAGATTGAACTTCGCTGAGCACATAGTAGTCAGAGTTTTGCTCTAGTCCAAGACGCCTGCTGACTCTGCGTCAAGAACCATTTTGTCGTGCCTCCTGTAGATGCCCTTGCCATATCAGCATACATCAACCCGATACGCCAGCACATGCCCAATCCATGTTATCGCTCGAACTCAATCCTTCCCTTCTCTGCAGAGTCAGCCTCTGCATCCATGCCTCCCAACAGGTCTTCTTCTACCTGCAGGCTCCCACCCCTGCCGACTCCTACAACTGCCTCCTCTCCCTCCAATAATTCTCTATCACCCTCTCTCACACTCCTTCTATCCGCCTCCACGCCATACGCTCCTTTCTCTTCTTCGTCGTCGAGATCGGTTTCAGAGCGTTGTAACGCACTCCTCTCCATCTCTCTCTGTGCTTCGTCTACCCTCTTGCGGACTTCGCCCGCTACTCTCATGCCATCGCTCACGATGTTGTCCAACACACCTCTCAATCCCTTTACAGGTGGCACAATACCGCCTCGAGGTGCGGCAGGCACGGTGGGCGTGGGTGAGGAGAAGGTCGTCAGTGGTGTTTGAGAATGTGAATGAGCAGGATGGTCCGAAAGATGAAAGGAGGCTGGGAAAGCAGATTCAAAGAACTGTTGGAGCAGCTCATCGGCGAGAATTACCATACGGAAGGTTGGGAGAGTGATGTGAAGAGGGTTGGACGGGTCGAGGGCGATGTTGGCGGATCGCTTGGATATGGATTTAGACTGGGTGTGGCTTAACGACGAGGTGCGGCGAGGTAGCGCGGGAGGTGATGGATTCGAAGGCGAAAATTGTTGAAGCAACGTGGGTTTGATACCGAGGTCGAGGAGGTCTCCTTCGGAATCGGAGTCGCCAATTGTGAAGTGGTCCATACTGATATTGAGTTCGGTATTAGGAGAGGAGGTGAGGTTGTTACTTTGGTTCTGGGGATGGTCAGGGTCCGCATACTCGAAACAGCGACGAATGAAGGCACTGATGCTGCCGAGAAATCTTTCATCTGCGCTTGAGCTTTTCGGATCGACCCCGTCGTCAAGAGTGGAAGCGATCGAGATCGACGATGGTACTGAGCTGCCTCCAAGACCTCTCCGCGTCAGGAAGAGCAAAGCTTCCGAAATGCGTAGAATGCCTTCTCTGTCGACTTTGCCGTCATGATCGTCATCGTACAAATCGAAGAAATAGCTAATGCTAGTCATGATGTCTGTTGTACCTTTGACGCGTGCAAGACCCGTGACCACATCCTGCAGGCTCAAGCCGTCATTATCGTCCTTGTTCCACTTTCCATACAGCCGTTGCATAAAGTCGTGGTCTGCAGGCTCAGAGTTGCCTGCACCCCATGGTGACAGCGAAGGGCTTCGCCCTCTTCCGCTGTGCCCAGAATATACGCTGCTCGCCCTTTCGGACATGGAGTCTTTGTGGGATGTAGGTGCATCTGTGATGGCCCACCGGGTGATCCCGGCTAGAAATTCCCTGAAACTATCATAATTCATCAAAGTCGGGCTAGGTCCCAAACCCACACGACCTATCTCAATACTGGAATTGCCAGGAATGCCAGTAACGAGTTCTGTAGCATTGTCGTTTCTAGCTTTGGCCCGTCGGTCGATGTCTTCCCGCATGACCTGTATACGTTGCTCCCTCTCATACAATATGCCATAAAATCGATCGTAGAGGAAGCCCAGATCATCCATGCTCAGACGCTTACTTTCAGGTCCTAGATTTCGGATCGATGTCCTCCTGGCAAAGCTCTCAATGTTATCAAGCACGACATCTTTGTGCTTTGCCCGTTGTTCGGATATCGTGCTTTGAGTGATTCCTGCAAATTCTTTGAAGGCAACCACCATGAGTTCTTGAAATTTAGTCACAGCGCGAAATTTCTCATTCTCCGACTTTGGATGTGCCGATTCTTCCAAGCGCGAGAAGTAGGTTTTGAGTATTGATATAAAAGCGCCATCGTCAGTGATGTCCAGGAGATCCTCTCCGTTGATCCTCAGAATGGCGAGGCCGACTTGAAAAAGCACCTTCGGACCCTCCAAGAAGAAAACATCAAGAACTCGAAATGCAAATATCAAAGGCATAGAGTTAATGTAGAGGGAAAGAAACCAAGGCAATGATACCACAGATAGCTGTACGTCCGACTTGACAAGATGCTCCCAAAGTATCGGCATTGTTTTTTCGACCAGAGATTCGAACACCCGCTGGTCTAAAAGCGTACCGTACATGGTTGTAGAGTAGTAGCCAGGCAAAAGTCGATCACACAAAACAGAGAGCAGGAAGAAGGCTTGCGTTTCAGACATATAGCTGTGCTAGTTAGCGGTAGCCATCTTTCCAAGGCCTGTATCTTACATGAGAAGCGCTGCGACCACAATATTCATAGCTTGGCAGTAGCCTACTTCTTCGTTGATCCAGCTGTAAGCAGTCAAGACCCGTCTAAGACGTCCGATACCTTCTTCGCTCTGGAAGCCAGGATATTCCGGCAAGCTCCGATTCAGGTCCTTCTCGATCTCGTCAATAGCCAAAGATTCACGTCCAGAGTATCTTGATAGCGTGTCTGTGAACAATCTCGGCTTCTGGAGCCGGATGTATAAGGATCCCGATGTGAGCTCCCATGTTTCTCCACGAAGACGGTTTGGGAGGCCAACTCTGATCAACTTATGGAACGTAGGTTGTCGGATGAGTGTAGCGTTTCGGCCGTTATCTGACTGTTGGTCAGTCTTTACCGTGCAAATGAAGACTTCTTACCGACCTCGGAGATATTCTCTCCATAGCCTCATCTTACTCTGCTCCCTCAGCTTCTTGGCATCACCTGGGTATCTGAATACCATGCCAAGTCCTGCGTCTGGTGGCTCCTTTACTCCATTCACCAACAAAGCATTCTCCCGCTCCGCTTTGTTGGCTCCAGACAGCAGATACTCGGAATAGCATTCGCCGATTACTGCTTTCAGATTCTCCACCTCCTTGACTCCGTCCCTCAGGCCCTTCTTCATTCCATCACAAAAGCGTTCCGAGGCTTGTCTGCTACCCGCAAGCTGTACTGTGAAGCGTTGAGCATCGCTTGAGTTGCCCTGCTTGCCCGAGAGGGCAGTAAATCCATTCCATGTCGTGATTGCCAATGCGAATAGACTATTGGGTGTTTGAAGCCGCTCAACCCTTCGAATAGCACACAACGGTAGGGTGAACCCATTGCCTGCAGGCCCCGCTCCTTGAGTCTGGCCAGTGAACGCGCTTGAAGCCTGCGTGCTTGCACTGTGGTGGAAGCTGGTAGGCTGCGTGGAGAAGCACAGAAAGCTTTCGCTCAAATGCAGCTTCCCTACGTATGTAGTCCCTCGCTCTTGTGGTTTCTGCTTCTCCTTTGGCCCTTGTGCTGAAGCTCGTGAGCTGTGTGGTGCAGACAGGGACAGCTCCGCAGTGATCTCGTGCTGTGGCGTTTGGGAGTCTGGAAGGCGGAACTGGAGGCGAAAGAGAGCGGCCTTGGAAGGACTTCCATCGGAGTTTCTCGTGCTTGGTGACGCTGAGGGATCAATGAGTGATTGGGCCTTTTGGACGAGCGAGCTGAAGGTGAACATGGCTATAAGCCATGCAATTCATTGGGAAGCTTGGAAAACATAAAGGAGGGTCTGGTGTCATGGGCGTTTTTCAGATGTTCGCCATGATTCCGCTTTACTGATATGGGAGGGGAGCTTACCCTAACCTAGGCACTTCACCAGCGGCTGAGTTTCGGTAGTGCTTGAGGAAATATTGATGATGAGAATTGATATGTTTTAGATCCATTGTATTCAGAGAATAAATGCATTCGTATGCAAATTCGTGATTCATCATCTATCTATCCCAGCTAGATCACAGGCACGGATTCAACATCCCAGTCCGCTAGGAAAGAGCAAGCTATGTGAAAAGGGAAAAAGGACTATGGACACCACTGCCACACAATCTAAAGCCATTCATCTCTCTCATATCACATCCATCATCTCTTCATTGATCGTTCCTATGTGCTCATGCCAATGCTCTACTCTGCCCATCTATTCCCTTCCCTCGGTGTTCAACCTTATCCACAGATAGCCAACCTGTATATTAGCGATATCTGCGCGGTGGCGGTAGGCCGTAGGTGATCTCCCTCTCTACCACACGCTCTTCGTCCCATGGTGGTGGTGCTGGTGGGAGTGCTAGTGGTCTCCGGGGCCGCTCGAGAAATTCGCGCTCAGCCTGGATCTCACGGATGCGTTCGCGGCGATCACGTTTGATATCTTCGGTAAGTTCGACAAGGCGTAGAACATCCTCCTGTGTGGGTCCCCACCATTAGGAGAGCTGCTTAAGAAAGTAGAGGAGGGAGGACAGAGATGGATACTTACGTAGCGCAGATACTCCATTACATAATAGAACTCGTCAGTCTCCTCGAACTCATAGCCAACTTCCTTAATAGCTTCCTCGCTGACGAGGTCTTTTGTGACCTCCGTCCACATTCTATCTTTCTTGGATTTCTCTGCTTCAAAGCGCCTTCCTTTGTCTCTGGTATCGATAATGGCGAGTTCACGGACATCTTCTTCTTCACGGCGCTCGCTACGACGGACACCGTCTAAGGCGCGGCGACCACCGGTCTCGCGTTCGAAGACAATGTCTTCGTCATAGTGCTGACCGTTACGAGAGCCACTGTGGGTATCAATGTCAGTCAAGGTACACTTGAGGAGGAAAATATGGCCCACCTCTGACGAATCTCGATCCGCTCGTCGCGTACAGGAGCCGGAGACGGGGATCTCGGGCGAGGGGGGGTTCTCGTGCGAGGTGCTTCACGCTGGAAAACAATGTCTTCGTCATAGTGACGGCCGTTACGAGTACCACTGTAGAAAGATGTCAGTGAATTAACAGTCTGGAAATACGCTTGACTTGCCTCTGACGAATCTCAATGCGCTCGTCACGGACTGGAGCTGGAGAAGGGGACCTTGGACGGGGAGGAGTTCTCGCGCGTGGTGGTTCGGGTGCTCGCTCGAAGCCTAAGTACTGTAAGCGGACGAAAAGCCAGCAATTACTCTAGAAGTACTCTACCATGGTCTATATGACGGTGATGTGTTATGATTTCCTGAACGATCGGTGGGGCTCGTACGGGTTCCGGCTCTCGGACAAGTACAGGTACAGGTACAGGTTCAGGTTCAGGTTCGGGTTCGGGTTCAGGTTCGGGAGAAGGCGACCTCTCATTGCGCCTGATAATAATTTGATCCTCGTGCCGTCCTCTGTACTCGTCATGCCGGAAGATAATGTCGTCGTAGTTTCTTTCTCTGGATTTCTCACGGGTCCTCTCACGAGGCCTTTCCCGCTCTCTCTCGCCTCGCCGTATGGTGATATCCTCTTCTCTGAAGCCACCTCTGGATCCTGCCCTGGACCGACCCTCGTCGCGGCGGACGATAATCTGCTCATCTTCCCTGAAGCCTCCTCTAGATCCTGCCCTGGACCGACCCTCGTCGCGGCGGACCATAATCTGCTCATCTTCCCTAAAATCTCCTCTTGATCTGGCTTGTGGTCGCTCCCGCTCACCACTGCTGACAGTAAGACTCTCCCTCTCATAGCTTGCTGCCCGCGGCCTCCGCCTCTCACGGTTTGAGATGACGATCTCTTCCTTCTCGAAGCCTCTTTCTCTCTCCCTAGGCGGTCCCCTAGACCTCTCGTCCCTCTTTATTATGATCTCCTCATCCCTGAAATCCCTCTCTTGGGGCCTCTCCCTCTCCCTCTCGTCCCGTCTGATAATGATCTCCTCCTCTCTATAGTCCCTCTCTCGGGGCTTCTCCCTCTCCCTCTCGTCCCGTCTGATAATGATCTCCTCCTCTCTATAGTCCCTCTCTCGGGGCTTCTCCCTCTCCCTCTCGTCCCGTCTGATGATGATCTCCTCCTCTCTATAGTCCCTCTCTCGGGGCTTCTCCCTCTCCCTCTCGTCCCGTCTGATGATGATCTCCTCCTCTCTATAGTCCCTCTCTCGGGGCTTCTCCCTCTCTGTTTCTCTGACAGATATCTCCGTCCTCGCGGGGCTTGGTTCTCTGATCACAGGCGCCCGAAAAACGTACTCCTCTCGTTCCTGGCGGACCTGCTGTGGCGGCAGAGGTGCTGGTTCTGCTCGACGGTAGACGTACTCCTCCCTCTCCGTCGCCACAGGGGCGCCCCTAGGCCTGTAGGCTATCTCCCTATCGATCTCCTCCCGTTCCACATATTCTCTCTCTCGTGGCCTCTCACGCTCTCTCGGAGAGCTCCTGGCAACAATCACCTCATCCTCCATAAGCTCCCTCTCTCGTGGTTTCTCCTTCTCTCTCGGTCCTCTGGCAACAATTACCTCGTCCGCTTCGACTTCTCTGCGTCGTGGTCTCTCACGTGAGCGCTCTTTCTTTTCTTCTCGCAGGACTAGCGGTCCAGCTTCCCGCCGGCCGTAGTCATCTCGAAGGAAATCTGGTTCCCGCTCTGGCGCTCGCCGACGCTCCCGTATCTCTATCTCCTCGTCGTATACAGTACGTCGACCACGGCCGCTGGGTGGGTAGTAATCGCGTTCGCGCTCTTCATAGATCTCACTCGAAGGGTAGCCTCGCCGTGACATGTTGCTTTTTGTGTGAGTTGTGAAGCGTGAGGGAGCAGAGTGTCTTGAGCAGTAGCTTGTGGGTAAGTATTTCTAGACAAGAGTGGAATCATTCAAGGCATGACAGTCCTCATCTGCACGGTGGTGATGTCGTTAAATATCTACGTAGTTGAGTGAGAGGAGGGGTGCAAGTGCAAGGCTGCTTGGCGAAGAGCTATTATCTGATTCGCTGATGCTCATCCAATTACGGCTGCTTCGCAGGATTGGGCTCTCATTGCGGTGAGACGATCATAAGTGTGTGGCTGAGGACGTTTAGAGGTCGGCGTCATTTCACGATAAAATGGATACGGTGTCAAATTTTGGCAACCTTCTACATAAGGCGGAATAGTGCTGTGATTACGAGTATGCTAACACTAGGCAAGCCGTATGTTTACGGCCGATATGGTATGCTTTGTGGAGTCACGGACTATGGAGGAGACCGCAAAAACAAAATTGCCATGGGATCGAGGAAGGTATTCAACGAGAACAAGGCGCGGCCAAGGCTAAGTCATTAGGCTAAGTCTCTCAGAATGTACGACCGCTTCGTCCGAGAAAAGTCCACCTGGCAAAGATGCCCACATAGAGCTGTACTTGGTCCACCAGCCACGAGAGTAAATCCTTCCGGCAGTGATATCAAGAGCATACATAGCAATGCAAAACACGTCATATCCAATTCTCCCGCAGTAAACTCAAGAAACAAACATTGATTCGAGTGTGAAGGGCTAGATCCATTAAGAAAGCTCCTAGTCCTGGTGACGAATAGATCTAACGTTCCTTGCCATTCAGACCATCCAGGGAATCTGTGCCTTTGAAGGACGCATGTTTAGAGCAGGCGGCCGCCTATCATTGTCCGTGAGATGCCAGTCCATGAGATGTTGCAATGCAAAGAAATTCGACCAGGCATTCGTCCGTTGAGCTAGGTCCAAACCCTTCCAGTAGTCCAAAGCATGGTCGAGTGGCCTCGACTCAATCCCACACCCCTGGAACAACGGGGTAGTGGCCAGACACGAAGATCGTTGTCCGTCATGAGGAAAGAGCATTATCACTTGAGAAATCATTGAGCAGCTTTTCCTAGCTCCGGCAAGACGCGACTGAAAAGAGAAAGGTGCAAGCAAAAAGTCTGCTGTATATGGTATCCGGGCCATTAGGTAAGGGTATAGCGCGCGAGTCATGAAAGCAGGGCGAGATCAGACATCCTCCCAATAGTGGCGGCCGTGAACCTGGCCTACCAACAGTCTTCAAAGAACTTCCAGCCTCTCCAAACGCATTCGGCCTCCTTGTAAGTCGAGTTTGGTCCGTGCATGATCGCTAGTCATGAAATCTTGACCTGAGAAAAATTACATATCCGGCATGAACAAAGGACATTGCGCATATACAAACTGTGGGATCCGACGTTTCGAGTAAACCGGCCTCGGACCGGAAGGAATTTCTGTGACTGGACCGCAAGATGTCAATGGCCATGTCATAGCTGAAATGATTGGAGTCTCAATCACGGAGACAGCCAGGTAGATCCGGAGGATGTTGTCAAATAGATAGAGCTGCAGGATATACTCTCTAGCGATCCGTTTGGTGATGGACCGGAGATCTGGATACCAAATAAGAGATGAGATTCCTAGAAGCCAGAAAGGACACTCCCATCGTGGCAGTCACCAAAGGGTTTCGGCTGTCCAAGTGCTAAGGTAGTTCAGTGGTAACAACGCCGTAGGTTTTTCCCTGAAGATGACAACAAAAGATACGGCCAGATCTGGCTAGACTAGGAAGATCATGTCATTCTATCTTCGAGAACGACGTTCCTCCCGGATGGGCTCGGTCCTGTAGCCATCTCTCATTTGAGGGGAATCACGCGGGTCGTATCCACGTGGCACAACTCCGGAAGGAGTAAAAGACCCACCTCTACCAGACTGAAGGGGTGGTATTGTGGAAACGTAATCATAGGCTCTAGGATCATCGACAGCTCCATGCATTGACACATCCCCAGGCGAGTTCACGCCGTAGGAAGGATAGCTAGGTATGGTTCTGGGATCCGGGCGTGTATCTAATCTGGGGTCTCTAGGGTCCATCCTGGGATCTCTAGGATCCATCCTGAGGTCTCTCGGATCCAATCTTGGGTCTCGCGGATCCAACCTAGGATCCCTGGGATCCATCCTGGTGTCCCTAGGATCTGCTCTGGAGTACGCCCTGGGTTCTTCTCTGGGGTCCCTGTATCCTCCTGTACCTGGGTATGTGGTTGCTTGCCTGTACGAAGGGCCCGGATTGGTATACTCATCTCCGTAGGTATAATTTGAATCATTGGTGCTAGGCCTGATAGAAGCAAGATGTCCTGGGGTTAAGTACCCTGAGGTTGCTGGAAAGCTTGGGCCTGGTTGATAGCTCGATCCTGACGGATACACAGATCCTGGATATGCGGCAGATCCAGCCCCAGTCGAGTATGCAGGCTGTGGAGGGGGCACCGCATATGTGGGTTGGGATGGAAACCGTTCGGGATACGGGGGTTCTTCTGCACCTGTTCTCATTTCCTGGCGCCGACTGGTTTCGGATTCTCCGTAGGATATATCTAAACGCGCTTTAATTAGGTAGCTTGTGAGACCAGCTGAGAACCTCACCTTGGCCTCTTTTTCTCATTTCACGATTCTCCGCGGCGTACAAGTTGGAAAGTTCGATTAGATCATCTAACATCTTCTGTTGATGGCCAAGATGTGTCAGCAAATGATCGGAGCAGCAGCTGGAAGAGGTCAAACTGACTGATGTGAATGGTCGGACAGCAGTGATAACATAACCGTTATTCCCCTAAACGGAAGTCAGTGAGAGAGCCTCGTCACTAGCAAGCACATCGTCAAACATTGTAGGTTGAGGGCCTCGAGTAAGCCTCGGGTCCAAGGTATTTGCAGATCTCTCGCTGCAAGACTTCGCGATGGATGCCCTCGCCACTAACGAAAAACTCATTCAAGGCATCTTGCCTTTGCTTGGATGGTCTTGGTCTTTCTCTTTGGGGGGCAGGGACAGGTTCCTCCCGGCCTCCTCTGTCTCCTCTTCGGCGATCACGGTCGTCTCGTGTGTCACGATCGCGACGGGACATAGCCGGGCTCCAGGAGATATTTGGTGTGAAGTAAGTCTGGCCTGGCTCACAGCAGAGAATGCGATGGAATAAGAAGAAAGGAGATACAGGAAAAATGATTCCGAAAGTTGGCAAGGCTATTTCTGTTGGGCAGCGAGATCCAGCGGCCAGATGGATTTTCCAGATTATTCGCGTCCTTGGGAGAGACTCCACCAGCTGGCTCCTTTTCACAGTGATAGATGAAGGGAAAGATGTCCTAGTCCGAGATGGAAAGTGTTTTGATAGAGGAATGCAAATGCAAATGATGAAGGTTGGAAAGTGCTCAATGTCGAAAAGCGACGAGGTGGCAATAGCGGGGTTGAGGGTTTTAGCGCGTACAGTAAGCTACGAGGGTCCGAGCGTATTCAATTTTCAGGCACCAATGCCGCCCACTAATATGCCTCCGTCTCCCTCTTACTTCGGTGCATCAAAAATGTCGTCCCCCATCGTTCAACTGCTCCCCTAGGTCAGCTAGGTAGGACAAGATCTCGTCCCTGCCTCTTGCTGCCTCTCTGTTTCCTTCAGGCCTGCGCGTATGGCTGTTAGGCTACGTCCTCCTTCTCCATGCGCTCCGTGGCTGCCTTGCGATCCGTCAACCGTGGGATGGGGCGGCAGCTTGACGATTGCTTTGCCGCAAGAAAGCGAGGAAAGGGGCGACGACACGGCCTGGCAAGGGGTGGGAGCGGGCTAGAGATTTAATTAGTCAATGCCAATTGATCGATTCACAAAACTTAGGACTACTCACGCACCGAGGGATCGATCGCTGTGGACGACCAATCGGGCCCTATTCGTGCGGCTGGCGCTATCCTTCATCGAGAGCCTCCCAATCAGGAGGTGATGGAGGCCTTGAACGTGGCGAGTGGTCCGGTGGTCTTGCACTTTTGCAGTGGCAGGAAACTGTCGACATGTCAAGGGGTGGGGTTCAAAGAGAGATAAGCGTTGGGAAGTGAGAAGAGAGAAGTGAGATGTGCGATGTCTAAGTGGGAGAAGAGCTGAGGTAGATAGGAGAAGCAGGTACTGCAGAAAACAGTGGCCCTTTAAATCTGGATGCACTGCACAAGGTAGCTGTCTATGTGACTGGACTGCACTGTATTCTACATACGAGTAGTGCATGCACCAAGAGTATGTACACAAAAGTGTCAGAGACTTTCACTCAAAAGGCCGTTTTACGTTGTACTGTGGCCCCATCATAGTCGGGTGTTTCATTGGGTCTCTTCTCCACTTTTCCGGCATCTCAAGCACTCGCAATTGCTCAATCTGAGTCCCAGTTATTCTCCCTGGCTCGCTTATCACGGAGAAAGCGGTACATGACCTCTCTACGCCCCATGAATGAGAAGTACCATGTGGGCTGTTTGTGGTCGCTTCGACAACCGCGCACAAAGTCGCTCTCTCTAAGAGTGCCATGCTGTCAGTAGTCCGCGTCTGCATCTCCTGTCACGGGCTTCGTTCTGTCCATGCAATCGAGACACAAGCCATCAAAATATGATCGCGTTGTGGCCTGAGCAACCTCCACACCTTGCTTGTAGTCACTGCGGCAAGAGGGACAAGCGTCTTTTTTGGCCTCAAAGGAGAAATTTTTGAGCCGCTCAAGAATGGTCGTCATGTGGGATTTCTGATATATACGCTCGAGCGGCCAGACCTCGATCGTATAGAGTGCTTTCTCGTAGCAAAAGAGAGTCATCTCTTTGCACTTGCAGCGTGCCTCGAGCAGTCTTTCATTTGGACGGAAAAGCTCGTTGTGAAGGACTGTTCGAAGCCGTCCTTTCGCGGCGTTGAGCTGTTTTTATACGCTACGTTAACACTAGACAACAAACTCGGGTCCCACTTTAACTTACGGATTACACGGCTTTCAACCCGCAGATCGCGGTGGATTGTGGGATTGTGTTCGGTAATATGGCCAACGGAATTGTAGCTCAAGAAGTGCGTCGCTCTCATAAAGCCTTCCGCATGATCGAAAATCCAGCATGGATAGAGCAAGGAACGTGGGTCCAGGAGATCAGTATTGTGCCTGCCTTTGATGGTCCAATTGTTGTAGTACTGATCGATGTTTTGCTTCTGATACCAGTCCGCGAACCAGGGTTTCAGCATGCTGAGATTTAAGTGATACTTATCGCAAGCTGTTACAAGACGCCACATTTCTTCCAACGGTACATCGTAAACCAAGTCAGTGTCGTGTAGGATCCGGAACCAAATAGCCATACCTGCGACACTGTCCTCTTCGAGCTTGACCAAATCCGTCTGGGCTTCTGTCCAGTGAGAAGGGCGAAACATTGCCGCGAAGGTTGACGAATTTTTGGTCAAGACCTCCCGACAAACTCGAAATTGTAGGTTTCGCGTGACAGGTCTGTTGCCATTGCCATCTCTAATCTGATCGTCATACTCAATCACTTCGACAGTCACATCTCCGTCTTTATCGATGACCATTACGCCGGCGTCCATCGCGGGAGACCCTCGAGCTTTCCCCGCCGCAAGTCTGATCATCTGTTGACGGAGCTCTTCATCGCCGAGCGACTTCTTGTTGAAATTGCTCTTCGTGAGACCGCCGATCTTGACAACTTCGATCTCCTTGTTCAGACTTGCCAATGCAAATGTCTTTGCGTTTTCGATGCCCGGCGCATTGTCGCCATTCGACTTGGAGTCGAATTCTGGTTCTTTGATCTCGACACACTTGGCCTCTAGACGCCATTGAGATTGAGCAGTGGACTTATCCTGGATAATCGTGGGGGGCGATTCCACGATAGGCTTGACTTTGCAGGTGCCTTCAGTCTTCTTGTTCCATTGAAGAACCGTGATGCCGTCGTCGAAATCGACACCGTATGACCAGTTGGTGACTCGAGTCGTACCCATGACTCGCTACCTGCAGTCTTGGTGAAAAGATCGCCGCGAGAGAGCAGTGCTGATTTGATTAGGCTGGATCGAAGCCGGTTGAGAGGCTGATGTCGAGGCCATTGCGAGATCTGTTCGTGATGTCGATAAGATGAAGGGTTTGAAAAGAGAAGGAGAATAAGGCAAGAGTGAGATCGGAATATGTTCGAGTTATGGGTAAAGTGCAGTGCTGGAACCCAGACCTGAACAGAGGATGAATGGTAGGTAGGAGAAGCATAAAGCGCAATGCTGGATCCCGGACCTGAACTGAGAATGACTGATAGACAAGATTAAGGGTAGAGAGCAGTGCTGGGACCCGATCTTTCTAGTAGACTTGTTCCATGTATCAAGAAGGTAGAGCGCGGTGCTGGAACCAAGAGATCATACTTGAAAAGGGTCTTCGTCAATTTGTTGTATGAGGAAGAGAATGTAAAGAGATGAAGTCTTGTCTAATGACTGGGGTACAAACCACGCTAGTGAATGTCTTCACACAGTGTAGGTTAGATGGAGCCGAGCACAGTGAGTGAATCGGAGACACGACTTCACTTCGATCAATGCTTTTGCGTGAAGAGTGAACGTAGCATTAATCTTAAAAGAGAGGTCGTTGCATGAGATCCAGAATCTCTTTCGTTGTGGTCCAGAGATACTCACTATGGCTTTGATATCTGCAAGTATCTATTCTCAGCCTCTTGAGCATCGATCGGTTAATAATTGAACTCAAATCTCTATTTCACAGCTAATCAGATCATTGTAATGGCCCTTCATTACTCCACAAGATGTGTCAAACAAAGAAGCAAGCTTCATTCGAAGCCGCAGCACCAAGGTCACGTCTAAGGTGTCCCAGGCCTTGAAACCATCAGCCATGATCCTGACCCTTCCATGTCTCTCAAGACGTCCTTGGCCCGCTCTACGCAAATTTCAGAGTTAGTGTAATTCTCTTTGGGTAATACACCAAGACACGATACACTTTTGAAGAGCAGAATCTCCTTTCACTGCCTTCTCTTTGGGTAATAGACCGAGAACCGAAACACATTTGCAGAGCAGAATCTCCTTTCACTGACTTCTCTTTGGGTAATAGACCGAGAACCGAAACACATTTGCAGAGCAGAAGTATTCTTTCACTGCCGAAACATGGCATTTCTCCTCAGTAACAAGATAATCCTGGAGGAATGAAAGTGCTCTCTGCTCCCGAAATCTGGAGTGCGACCCCGATTTTCCATCAAACAGACAGGATTTACACCGGAAATGTACGTACCGATTGTATCCTCGTCTACCCCAATCACACCGCGCAAGAAACCCTCCACCCCACCCCACTGTCTTTCCACCATCATTACTACGGCCCTCATAACCTCTTCTCTGGCACCCACCATCCTGCTGATACCATTGCTATCAGATCCTTTGAAGACTGGATGTCTCAACAACCGACCGACAGCTTCGGCCTTCCAAGCTGGCCCCAATCCTTGCTCGCTCAGATGGTACTCTTCGGCTACTACCTCAGCGGAGCAGCCCGCCAGTAACAGAATAATCATGATAAGGACACCGGTGCGATCTTTGCCCGCCGTGCAATTGATGAGGATGGGCGTGGGAGAGGCGCTGCTAAGATGACGAAGGATCGCTTTGATGGCCGGTCCAGAGTGGAGAAGGGTAGAACGATAGGCCTTCTCAAATCCCTACGGAAGTCAGTTTCCGTGGTTCCATCCGAGAGGAAGATCTTGCCTCGGTGCCTTTGCTGGCATAGTCCTTGAATCGTACTGCCAGAGCTTCTGGAGCAAAGTCCTCGTCGCGGAAAACAGGAACCAAGATCCGCTCTGGTCCATCGGACGATCTTAACCAGCATTCGTACTGACCGTCTTCTCTCTTCGACCGGCCGACTTCTAAGAAGCTCCGCAGATCGAATATCTTCTTGATGCCCAATTTCTGAATCTGTAATTGACCTTCTTCAGTCAAATCATCTAAATATCCACTCCGATACACCAACTTGCGGCGTACAGAAACACCGCATGAGACAGGATAGCCGCCAATGTCACGGAAATTCTTGACAGCTTCGACGTTGACGAAAGACGGGTGTGGCCAGTCGCGTATAGCGTCAAGGGAAGGAGTCATCTACATCAATGCCATCAGTCATCCTATCATACTTCGGGTTGGCCACATACCCTGTTCGAATGCCTCAAGTATTCCGTCACCGGTAGCCTCTCTAGGCTTGGAACATCCTTGTATCCGCTTAACCAAGGCAACCACATCTTACCCTCACACCCACTACCGCGTTCTAATCTCCTCTCAAGCGTACTGGTCACGGCGAAGGCTAACATCCCCAATTCTCTGAGTGGCTTATGGTTGTCTGTCACTCACAATCAGCATCGAAAATAATTTCATTGTCTGAGAGGCTCACTCTGTCTCGTCCCCAAGTCTACCTCCGCCAAGCCCTCCAGACCCACCATCCGCCATGTATCAATCAGCGTACCAATCTCCACTCCGTACCCAACTGGAAAGTGCAGCTTCACCAGCAACGATCGGCGTGCTGCAAATTCCCCCGCCAGCGGCTGCCGAAATCCTGCGAGTTGGGGAAAGTGGATATTCAGCAGCGGTCTCGCCACAAGCTCATTCACGCGGCCGCCTTCGTGTGGGCGGTATTCGCCATTGGGTTGTTTGAAAGGCCGGTCGAAGCAGCCCCTAACCATCTGGATAGTCTCATCCATAATTAAAGGTCCTAGGATACCTAGCAAGTGTGCTGGACTTGGATCCGCCGTGTCTCCATCCAGGAATGCCACGATATCGCAATCTGTGACTTGCAAAGCGCGCCACATGGCATCGCCTTTTCCCTGTGAAGGACCTAGCTCTGAGGCGATTTCCGCTCGCTGGAGGACAGAGGCGCCATGAGCGGCTGCCACAGCACCTGTATTGTCGGCGGATTTGTTGTCGATGGCGATGATAGAAGAGACGATGCCCGCCAACTTCAAGGGGTTGATTGTCTCTAGGATAATGCCCGCGATGGTGTCTGCAACCTCGCGGGCAGGAATTACAACAACGATCTTCAGGTTACTGGCCGCGACAGCAGATGCGAGAAGAGGCACAGAAAAGTCTGTGTGGTGATATCGACAGGACTCGAGCCAATCTTGGAGGTCGGGGTCACCGTACGAACCCATGGTTGCGATATATCGCTGGCACTGGAAGAAGAAAAGGTCTAGCAAGCGAAGCAAGGATGCCAGCCTGGATACTCTTCAGGATGGAAAAGAGCAGACACACTTATGATAGTGCGCAGAGGCATGAAGTCATGGTGTTGACTTGCACAGAGGAAGAGAATATATGAAAGAAAGTTGGCTGTTGGGCTTCAACGCGGAAACGCTAGAATGAGGACCTTTATATGAAATGGGCTTGGAAGTACATGTGGATTACCGTCATCACTATTCGAAGCAATATTGAATAGCTGCGTTACTCGACATGGAGGTTTTCCCAGAAGGGGAGATTTTGCCAAGTCTATACGGCGATGAGCGATCTCAGAGGCTGAACTCAAATGTCTTTCGTGCAGGTCAGCGAGGCGGAGATTCGCAAATGATATTACTTGCCAAATTGTGATCCATTCTTTTTTGGGGGGAGTGGGACCAATGCAAGACAATCGGAAGTACCTGCATGACGATCCAGGCGTGGACCAATGGCTTTGCAGCTCATATCGGTGAACGGCTAATCACAACGCCAGCAACCGTTGAAAGCCACGCGGTGAGGTATAAATGCTCAAATGATGTTGTCTTATAAAAACCTTGTCGCCGGCCCTGGGAATCTGATCTGCAAATTTGAAAGCGAATACGTTGCCTCCCGCCCACCCAGAATGCAGACATACCATGCAGGGTAGTCTTCAATCGTTGTCTGAATAGTATGCAAAGCTGCCCGTTCCGCCAATTTGCGCCGGAAGTAGATGTACCGAGCCGTTGCGACATGGCGGGTGAAAGCAGAGCTATGCATGCTCGATGGCGGTGGACTGCATGAAGAAACAGATTGTGGTCTGGCAGATGACGAGCCAGAATCATGCCCGTGTCCATCATTCTGAACATTGTCCGACCGGCCACTGCCGATGCCGTCCGCGGCCATGTTTCCCGTGACCATCTGAAGTGCGAGGCCTCGAAGAGAGCAAAAAAAGCGAGCATCGCCGGACTGCCGCCTAGGTCTGATTGATGCCCGCTTCCTCTTCTCGGACGACTTCACTAATTCAGTTCAGGGCACGCCAGAAAAGCACACAACCGAGCTGAATGGTCTCGACGGCAGGGCATTAGGTCATAAAGCTGCGCGCCGCCACCAGCAAATGATCGTTAGCATCCGATGTTCGAATGCAAAAGTCGCGGTGACCGAAGCAGGCGAAACCGAAGTACTTGCAGCAGGGGGTGTCAGAACGAGCGACAATCTTGAGTGCTGCTCTCTTTCAGACTTTGTAGGGATGAACCCGAAGATAGGCCGTTTAAACATCAAAATAGGTAGTTCAATCCGGGTATGGGACATGGAATATAGGTCTCCCAGAGCTGAAATTACCATATTCTTGGGGATCATTCTGTCACAGTCCGCATGAACAATATCCACCTAGAATTCTTGTGCATTGGTCAAGATTTCCTTTACGAATTAGCCTCCGAACCTGTAAACCAATAAGAACAACTGTCTCGTTTATGTGGACGTATGGTAATGTGGTAGAAACTCCCTTCACTGTGGTTACCGTACGTGTAGGGTACAACCTCCACTTCAGCTGCCGTGTGCGGTGCGCTTCGGATAGCCCTAGCCTGAGCGTTTTGCTTCGAAAGAGGAGTTCGAACCAGGGGCTCGACGTGCTGTACAGTTTACAGTCACGGCCTTCTTCCAGGGCAAGCACGGCAAGCGCGAAGCAGTAGCAGCTTCGAGCCATCATGAGCCCTCCAACAATAAAGATCGAGCATCCCAGTCGGTCTCTCCGCGTATCAAGATCCTCCACGCACTTCCACCTCTCGGGTCTAGTGTCGTGAGAACTGCGACTAGACTATTTACAGAATAGATAGACAGATGCTTTTGGAGAGAGATACGCATGCAATCTACTAACATCACCTCCCGCCGTTCGGCCCCCTAAAACGCCTCCTCTACATACCGCTCCCCCAGCATCTCCCCCACACGCCCGCCGAGAATTTTCTCAAACGTGCTTTTAACCTCCTCGGCGGCAATCTTATTCGTGCAAACAAAGGCCATGCCCTCTTGCTTGAGCAACTTATTCCTCAAGTACTGCGGAGAGCGTCGGAGAACATCATATACACGAAGTTTCATCGGGTTGCTAAGTACAATGTCCAGCATGTCGATGAGGTTGAGCGACATAGCTTCGTTCAAAACATCGACCATTAACTTCAGGTCTGACTGCTTGAAACCAAGGAACAAGGAAATCCCTGATCCTTGGCTTGGGAGAGGGCGCCCCGTCGCGAGAGCGTTGCGGATTATGCCCATGCGCCATTGTAGGAGACAGCGTACAGGGCCAAAGCCAGCACCAGTTGCGACGACGATGAAGGGTCTCAGATGATTCTTGCGTAGTATGCTGCCCGATGGAGAGTCGACAATGCGGTACCTGAGCGACGCTGGTATAGCGGAGTCTTTCATGAAGGTGTCACTGAAACGCCCCCCAGAAAGGACTTTGACCATGATATCGACCCCGCGTCCAGTGGATATACTCACTCGATTGCAGCTCGAAGAGTAGTGTCGAGACGAAGCGATAGAGTAGGTCCTAGTATGTAGCAGTGGCATGTTTTGACACAATTCGCATTTCTGACCATCACTCATGTGGACTATGCTGCTCTGGAGGCGCTCCAGGACCTGGTGGACCGATAGTCTGCTCAAGAGTGCTCTGGGCAGGCCTCTCTGAGATGCTAATTCTACTCCCTCAAGACATTCGACATCCGAGAATGGGAGTTCAAGGTCAACGTAGTCCGTCAGAAACGATAGATAGGTCGGGTTTTTCCAATCCAAGCCCAAATCCACATGGTCAGAACTTTTGACGCACAGCGACCGAAGCGCTTGGTTGACCTTTGATGGTGTATTTGATGGAAGGATCTGTATACAGCTCATCTCTTCAAAATGGTGGTTGTCGAAGTTAAATGTCACAAGCATCGATGCTTCGTGCGTCCCTGGTCTTGCGCCAACGAGCGAAAGCGAGCCAAGTGTCGAAAGCAGTCGGTCCTGGTAATCCTCGTACTTTCGACCGAGCTCTACCATTGGGGTCACCCTCACGAATACGGCGGCTTGCTTGTAATCGGTTGGCGATCTTATTACGGTTGTTGAAAGGCTTTCGATGCTTTGATCAACAATGCTGGGCTGTAGCTTGTTCAACCAGAATTTCAAAGCGGAAAATGGGAGCGGATCCACGGCCATATCCGCCTGGAACACACCAGCAGCCAATGGATAACCTCCAACTTGCATCAAATGGTCGTTGACCTTTATTGCCGCCCCGTTGTAGGTAGTAGAGTAACGACTGTCACCATTACCAAACACAGCGAATTTGAAACCCTGAACGCGATCCATGAGTCGCCACGATAACATATTTTCGCAGAGTTTGGAGAGACTAAGTCCATTCGACGGAATCTCGCCTTGGCCAGAGCTACTGACGACTAACAAGAGGATGTTTCCCGCGGTGAGATCAGAGGCCTGCAAGCTATTCAAGGGCTCGGAACGAGAGCATAAATGTAGACCGGAGGAATCTTTGATGAGAATGTTCAACCATTGGTGAAGCTTGTTGGCAAGCCTTTCTGCGATTATTCCAGCACTGCAGAAGAAAACTGAAATAAACCGATTGCTATTTGTCGGTGACTGTACTTCATGGGTCCGTCGTAACAGCTGCAGGTCATTTCGGAGAAGAAGACTCTCGCTATGCTCAGTCGTGGGCCCTGTTTCTATCTCGTTCTCAGACTCGTTTACTTCCTTCTGGGTACGATGGCACAGTTGCAGCCTATTCTGTCTAAGAAAACTCTCGGTTTGCTGATTCATGGTCCCTGTGTCTGTTCTCTTTTCTGCCGCAACTGCCGTCGGTTCTTTAACGACGGCCATGGGTTTCAATATCTGGGCGCCAGCAGGACCTTTCTGCTTCTCCCTTCTCCAGACCTTGATCGGGTCTTGCCCGTGTTTGCAAATCATAGGCTTCGGCTGGTAATTGGGAGCGCCGCCCCGATGCCAAAGAGGAATGATGGAACCTTGTGGTGGGGCCAGCCAGTAAGGATCCGCCGGTAGTCTGTACCCATTTCTCTCTCTGAAGTCATCATCGTATCGACACCACTTCATTGAGGCAGTGAGAGTATCAGTGATGTTGACTTTTGCTTGAACGAAAGACCAATGAACTGCGTAGTTCAACTCCGCTTGGGCTCGTGACAGCATTGAAAGCTTTTCATACTCTGGAAGGTCCTCGAAGACCTCGACATCGCCATGCAGCTTATCGCGAGTAAGCCCAAGGGCATCGATGATATCCGGGAGGACATTGTAACGGAACGAATCGGCCAAGTCACGAACCCCTATTTCGGCATCCATAAACCTTGTATTGTGAGCTATCAAGAGGACAAAAAGATAGACGAGTGTACACACCAGCCAATGAAAGGTGCTGCAGTGTACTGAACTCCGCCAATATCAAAACCCAGTCTCGTTAGTGCTGGAAAAGCAACCCATTTCAGGTCCAGCCTTTCAAACTCGGTAGTGTACTTAGGATGTCGAATACTGACCAATTTTCGAAGATATGTAGGAAGCTCGATCATGGCTGGACTGTCGCCCTCTGCCATTGCAACAAGCGGTAAAAGATCCCACCGGCCCCGTGGCTCAGGAGGCTGCCACCCGAGATCGATCATTGCATTTGTTATTTCAACACTCGCTGGGTCCCCCAAGACTGTACCGTCCTTGGGGTCGTATCCAGCGAATTGGAGGACTTGATGGTTCCAGATCATTGGTCCTCTAGCGTTGACGTTGCGTGGTGGAAATACGAACACTGTGGGCTGGACATTGCCTCCATTGAAGGCATCGGAAACTCCTTTGACCAACTCGGTAACCATTTCTGCACTCGAGGTGACCCTTCGCAGGTCACAAAGCTTAAGCTCCTCGCAATGGGATCGCATGATGCACTTCCTTGCATTTCTCCAAGCTCGACGAATACCAAATTCGAGCTCTTGGTGCG